TGTTAAATGTTAACGTGATTATATACACAGCTGAGCATGCGGAGTGGGGAATACGGTTTGTTAATTTCAGTAAATGTTATCATGGTAATAATCAAGGTTTGCGCTTTTTTTATTATTTAATATATTTTAAAAAATTGTTTGTTATTGTTAGCTATGCACTCATAATGTCGTTAATTCTAAGACAGCTTAACATGATGACGTCGTCTTGAACACAAATGTTTATATCGGCACTCTGGGACTCTGGAATAACTCGATATACATACTCCCGAGCAGTGTAAGACTTTGTTTCCGAAGGTCACAGGACTGAAGGGCTTGTTAACAAAAAAATATGCTAGCCCTCATCGTATTACATACAGCCTAGGGGCGATCGGGTAGCCTAGTGGTTAAAGCGTTCGCTCGTCACGCCGAAGACCCGGGTTCGATTCCCGACATGGATACAATGTGTGAAGCCCATTTCTGGTGTCCCCCGCCGTGCTATTGCTGGAATAGTGCTAAAAGCGGCGTAAAACCATATTCACTCACTCACATACATCCTATATATTTTGTGTTAACCTATTTGTTTATGTATCCTGTGTGTTTTGTGCGTTTTGAGACCACTCTGCTCACCAAAGGCGAAGTTGATTCGCTGCCTTGAACAATAGGTTTGTGTGACTTCCGTGGTGGTTCTTACACTTTCCCACGCATCGTTAATAACGCGTGTACGTGTATATCAGTCCTAATCAGTGTACACCAAAAACCAAGTCACCACTGCGCGTGAGTGAGTGAGTATTGTTTTACGCCGCTTTTAGCAATATTCCAGCAATATCATGGCGGGGGACACCAGAAATGGGCTTCGCACATTGTACCAATGTCGGGATTCGAACCCGGGTCTTCGGTGTGACGAGCGAACGCTTTAACCACTTGGCTACCAAACCCACTGCGCGTCGGTTTCCGATAAACTTTGAACTTAAAACCAAATGACAACAGACTTTGAATAAGCCTTAACTGACTCGCAGAAATACATATGTGTTGAGTAGAAGTTTCAACTAGTAAGTCGGCGTGCTGCAGGTCTATATTGACCCACCACCCAGTCCTTGTGTTAGCCTCTTAATGCTGATGGTAACGTCCAGAGTGGGGACCTTGGATTTTAAGGAAGAATAATAAAAAATCTCATAACAATAATTATGCTTCAGACTGTGGAAAAAAATGCCTGCCCCAAAAATTAAACTGTTGCAAGGTATTTTTCTTAAAACAACGTTCAGGCTCATAGAAATATGTTTTTTTTTCAGCTGTAACTAATCTAATCTAATCTCCATAAATCTCTTAGAAATTAAATCTTGCGTATTGAAATGTAGAAACAAAAAAATGTAAAAAAAAGTACCATAGTTTTACCCATTATTTCTTTTAAGCTATTTGGTCACAAAGAACACAAACACATTGTTGTTCTTTAAAAAAAACGCGAGGGTAATAATAGCTTGTTCTTTTTCTAGCGCGGTTTGTGTCAAATCAGCGTGTTTACCCAAGTTATGTCAAGGAAAGCGTCTTCATCACGGACCAACCAGTGTTCTATTTCAAACTCTTCATTGGCTTTGTATGGACGGATTGTGTCTCACACGAACACGACATTTTATTTGCTGGTTTAATGCCTTGAGGCACATATAAGGCGACCTTTCAGAGCCACAAATACCAGGAGGGCGGAAGGCGACTTTAGGGACAGCAATGCTAACGGTTTCTCAGAGTTTGTTACAAGTCATGAAAATCGGAGACAAGTCGCGTGTCTTTTGTTGACCACGGAAATTCAATGCATTTGTTTATTATGTTTATTCAGCAAGGTTACGTATGCCATGGGCCCATGTCACATCAGTTGAAATTTACATCAGCAGTTTTGTCCTTAATTACATAGACTTATAAACATACATAGCCAAATTTCTTTGATATTACATTTATCACTTGACATCAAGACATTGAATTTATGTAACGTGGGAAATACATAGTAGTTTCTTGGAATGTACTGTTCACGCATTTCGGCATACAAACAAGAAATGATACTCAACCTCAACGAAACTTTTTTAACAAACGTTGAAAAACCTTTCATTTCTTGGAACATGTGCATATCTGCCAGTCTCAATTTTTAGTTTGAATGGTATCCGTCAACAGTGTCTCGAAGAATTGTGACAATCCTTATTTTTCCAGAACAGGCTCCACATGGTTCTGACAGGTGCCTTGAACATGCCTCGGTAAAAGGTTCAATTATCTTAAGGCTTTGATATGTTGGTGTGTTTGTTTTGTAATACAAAATATAGAATTGATGGTCCATTTTCATAACGATTTTTAACCACTAACGAATTGCATCATTTCATTTCATACATCTCAAGACGACGTTCTTGAAGTGACCTTCGTTATATGATCATATTTAAACAATTTAATGTTCCTGCATTGCGCATCACCGCTATCTGATAGTAATTCGTAAACACATGCTCATGATAAAGTCGTAATCGTACGATGGACTCTGCTTTTGGCAGAGATTTGTTATGTATATGGTACGAAAGCCCATTAGTACGAAAGCCCATTAGGACCATATTGGTATTTAGTTTTTTTCTCTTTTAAAAGTCGTAATTACGAGAAAAAAAGTCGTAATTACGACTTTTCAAAACTCCTAGTTACGAGAATAAAGTCGTAATTACGACATTTACAATGGTGATGAAAATCAACGTGATATAATGACAAAGCAATAAATAGAATCTTATTACAAACTATATTCTCTCGTAATTACGGGTTTTGAAAAGTAATCACGAGTTTTGAAAGTCGTTATTACGAACATTTTCTCCTTAATGCGAGTTTTTTCTCTCATATTCAAATATGGTCTTGATGGGCTTGGAAAGTGTTTTGTCGCATATATTCAATAACGTCGTATATTTGCTCCTAATATAGGGTCATATGAGCAATATTTTCTTAGCAGTAAATCATTTTTGAAAAAAAACTCCCGTTAACACCAAGCGTACAGTTAAAGGTAACTACTCTAAACAAATCAAAGATAAGAATTCATGTTATCAAGTACGGAAAACGTAGTAGATATTTGTAGATGGCACATGTTGGTGCTGAACGTTACCGTCATCGACGGTTAGTGCGGATCACCCATTTGCCAGACTCCCATTTTTCATACCCTAAAACATAGGAAGTAACCAGCCAGTACCTGCTTCTATAGCAATTTTGGGGACACGGGTGGCCAAGTCGTCTCAGGTGCCGCGATTCGCTGTTCAGAGTTGCGTCCCCTGGGCACGTCAGACACCTATAATCGTGGGTTCAAATGCCAGTTCTAAGTTTGGCAGCAACATACCCGTGCTCCTGGGTTTCACCGAAATGGTAAACGTCTGAGACATGCGCCACTCCGGGCTTTCCCCCTACATTATGTTGACACGCCGTGATGAAAATGGAATACTGTTCAAAGCGGCGTTAAACCCAACATACTCACTCACTATAGCAATTATACATTTACAGAGTTGACACAAACTCAGTGTTCACGAACTTCAGTCTGTTTAAAGTGAGCTGCGCATTTTGCGAATATCATTAAAACGGACTTTTGTCATGGTTAACTATTGTGTGACTTAATTCGTCACCTCTTTTCAATGAAGAGACTACCTTGATTACATAGATGGGTCGTCATTGTGACTGTACTCTCCAGCCCCTGTCGTGAACCCACACAGTGTAGCAACACAAAACTCTTACTCGGATATTGTCCGTGGAATGGGAGAGAAAGAAGAGAGAGTACATTGAACGTAAATAATCGAGTCAGGACCAGACAATCCAGTGACTGATATCATAAGCATTTGGGTTCGATGACATGCATCAACCAAGTCAGCGAGCCTGTAAAAATTGCAAACCCTAATGAGATCCTGTTTACGTGGTCACCCCCGGTGATTGTTAAGATCACAAATCCTACCTAGAGTCAGACCACATGGCAGTCTGTATCATTTACAAAGAATATGATAAATTAAGAATACTAAATGTTGCACTAAATATGCAATGTCAATGCAAGCGAATAACCAGTCTTGATTATCCACCGAAACATAATCCTGTTGGCGTAAAGGGCAAATCAGCTGTGAAAAGTATGTGAATGGGCCACTGAAACTCGGTGATGGCACCGGGTGTTCGCGAAAGGGGTAAGGATGCCTTCCCTAACGGCTGCACCCGGTAAACTTCAATCATCTATCATTATGTACCTCTTATGATAATGATGATAAGATAGATTTTCTTGATATTATTTCAAATTACATGGACATATTATTTTGTGATTTTTAAGTTGGCATTAGTCTCTTTGAATGGCTGTTTTCTTTCTTTGTATTTCAATGACTTCTTGAGGTTTCCTTTTTTCCAGGAACTGATGTTGGTATACAGAACGTTGGTTTGTTGCCAGGAAATACCGTGGTCATGATGTTGCTATTTATGTACAATAATCCAATCCTAAACATCTCTATATATTAATTCAATATGGTTCATCTCATGAAGGGACCCTGAATCGTCGATACACCATCTGTCATGTTTCGTTTCGTATGAACGCGCCGAAAGTGGAGATTTGTCCGGGGAGACAACAGCTGTCTCAGTTTTTTCAGGTGTTTCTACTAAAGCTTATTAAAACACGGAAATTACAAGTATTACGTATTTCAAAGGCACAGTGGTCTGTTGTATCGGGGCTATGTTAAGATAATTATATAAACAACGGTTGTTATCGCTGAGAATGGTACGGGGTAACCGTGAAGGAAGATAGTGGTGTTCTTTATTCCTAGTCATCATAATGAAATAAACATCCAACTGAATCAATAAATTTTCACATGCATGTGTTTTCTAGATTGTGTAAATGTGCAGCATGCGCTAGTTGCAATCACATTTGATGGTGATTATATACCTCCCAGTGCGAAGCTGTACGATGAGATATTGCACAGTTTTGTTGCAATGTTAATGGTTGTTAATAGACGCACAATTAATCAAACTTATTGTACTTTATTTTATTTGTTTCTTTCCAGATGAGATGATTCGCGACCCAATCTCCACATGTGCATAAACTTTCCTCGGACAAACTACATGGACGATCCAATTCTGAAATTGGCGGGGAAAGGTAACTTTTCCACCCCAGACGAAAACTTCACCTGGTACCGGCCGGACACAATACACCAAGTCGCCCATTGCTTGACCTTATACTTCCAACCAATCATATGCCTTTTTGGGGTCGTTGGGAATATCATATCACTGATTGTATTTTCGTCCAAAAAGCTGCGGACTGTGTCGTGTAATGTGTACCTGGCGGCCCTGTCCGCCAGCAACAGCGCGTTCCTATTGGCCTTGTTCATCGTTTGGCTGGAGATGCTTGGAATACGACTTGTTCATCAGAATGGTTGGTGCCAGACTGTCATCTTCGTTACTTACGTGTGCAGTTTTCTATCCATCTGGCTCATTGTGTGTATTACAATTGAGAATTTCATCATAACGTTCCATCTCCATGACGCTCCCCGACTGTGCACCGTCAGCAGAGCGTTGATAGTGGTCGGCGGCCTCACCTTCTTCGCGTTACTTCTGTACGACTTTGCTTTATGGTCGACCAAAGAGACGGAGATTCAAAATACAACGTACTGCTTTGTATCGGATGAGTATGGCACCATAGTTGCCGTTCTAACCTGTGTGGATGTCGTGATAACACTTGTGCTGCCTTCACTGTTAATCATATCATTCCTCATAGCTATATTCATTAAAAACATATCCCAGCCCAATGGTTTCAGAACAAACATGAGACGTGTCCTTACTCGTAAGGAAAGAGCGTTGTTACGAGTAACAAGACTCCTCTTTGTTATTACCGTTTCATTTATGATATTTTCAGCTCCTAGCCACGTGAATAAACTGTGGTATTTGATTTCAATCCTGGCAAGTGATAAAAATGAAGCGACTCAGCACGACAGAGTTACACAACATTTGTGCCAGTTAGTATATTATACAAGTTTCTCGTGTAATTTTGTTTATTACCTTATATGGGGGAAGAATTTCAGACACGTGTTGTTCAATATTATCAAAAGTGTTGGTAAATGCTGTTGCAAGCGTCTGCGACCACCTTGAACTCCTCCATGTAATATCATGGTGTATTTCGTCCAAAAACATGTGCTTTGCAATGTACACTTGTATTATAGAGCTTTGATATATACATCTTTGAATAAATACATCAGTGTTGATTTTCGACATCAATAAACTATTATACTATTTTATTAACAACAGTGCATGTTATGATATTATTGTGTAATATTTTGAGTCAGACACACCTCATATCACGATGTCCATGACCGTCTTCAAGCACATTTGACCAGTGACTTCGAAATTCACTTCGTATAATGTACAGTAATATGACCTAAAAGCTCTTCAAACTAGAAAGATGGTCAAACTGTTTGTTGGCAGATGACAGCTGTTTTGGCCGAGGGATACCAATGCGCACTCCTGTACGAATTTGTTGACATGGTATTTCCGGTGTTACTCGCTCACAGTTATGTCTTTTCGTTGGGGGAAAACATCAAAACTCATTATGGCGTGTGTAATGTTCTACACAGCTGTGGGCTTGGTGGTTTTTTGAAAACATGGGCACTATACGGCACAAATACGGTAATCCCGATTTGTTAATGTGTGACGGTGGTCAACTGCCGGACCTATGCTCTGTTCAACAATGCCTAAACTCCTTTTAACGACAATCTGCAATTAGGTATGTCCCACAGGTAGATGTCGTAAGCATCAGTCCGCGGGAAACGATGCAACACCAGGTTTCCAGGTGACGTGGAGACAGGGACAAACTGATTGCCTTGTTGAGACCTATCGGGCGTTCAAAACTAGCTATAACGCTGCATTTTCAAATATAAATAACAAACCCCTTTCCATTATCATAAAAAATCTATGCCAAAAGCAAAGTCCATTATGAATCGCTATAGAACAGTGGTCGCTACTAGACTGGTTGGCGTATTAGCTCCACCGGTGGCAAGCGTCACAAACACATGCAAAGGCACGTCAGTTGTTCATATGGAGACACACGGGAACACATGGTACACGTCAAAATAGGAAACCGTGGTTAAATCAGAAGAAGGGAATTAGCTAATTGGCCAACATTGAACGACATTAGAGTGAGTATATGTCTTGGGTTTTACGCCGCTTTACCAGTAATCCAGCAATATCACAGTTGGGGACACCAGAAATGGGCTTCACACTCTGTACTGATGAGCGAACGCTTTAACAATTAGGCTACCCCACAGCCCCTAACGACATCAGTTCATCGATACATATGAAATTTAATCAAACTTGGCCACTTCCCATGTTTTGAATTTCTCAATCGGAGCAGAACTTCCGATTCGTTTACATTAAGAATCCAGCATTTCACATATATACTTGTCTTCTCAGTAAAATTCAAATGACATTTGCTTTCATTTTCTATAAATTGTCCCGAACCTTTGAAAATAAAGGCGTAACTACGATGGTTGATTGAACGTTTCTAAGCCTCACATGGAAGGATTTGCGCAATAGTGAAATATTTTGTCGTGGACATTACAAGATTTCCTAGTGGTATATCCATAAACACTTTAGTCAATTGATCAAATTGTCGGTAAAATAAGAAGGGGTCTGTGATCTTTGGAAATTGGACAAACTTAAGGATCTTGCAGTGATCAGTAATTGCAGATTGTTGTTTGGACATGGCATTATTCCACTTGTAACAATACTTTCTGTGAGGATATAAAGTGCTTCCCTAGTTGTTTAAGGATTATGGTCAATCTGGGAGACAATGATTTGGTGGTACATGTGCTGAACCCAGTCTCTCTATGTACGGATATTATGGAGCTTTTACATCCAGTATAAAAGAGTAATGAACACGTCTTCAGGTTTTCGAGTCAAGCCAAAAGTTATTGGTACAGATGCGTTGTTTTGGCAGATGTCTTGCACAGTTAACACTGGCCGTACATGTGGCATTACTTGGTGTTACTTACACCAAGTTCTTTGATCAAATAATTAATGTAGTGATGCCTACAAATAACACATTCTATTGAGGATGTCATCAGATCTACACCCAGAGAGATATCACATCGGAGTAAAATATCTTATTTTGATAAGGTTAGGCAGCGGTAGCGTGGTGCAAATACTCACACGTCAACCTATTTGACTAAACGTATCCCACATCTTCTTGACACGACATTACACAGTCGATGAAGTAATGTAAAGCTTTAACCTTCCAGCGTGTGGTATTTCAAGCCGTTTACTGTGTGTATTTCTTATCATTCGTCCTCTGTAACCTACAGTGATTTATGGCTCAGACAGTACTCGTGCAGCCATGGAAATCAAATAAGGTCAGCTCCTGCGAATGAATAGGAAATACGGCAAATTCAACAGGCTTGCTGTGTTGCTTCAAAACCAGAAAGGTTGCTCTGGTGAGATGCCCACGTATTCCACAATATTTGTACGTAAAAACAGCAAAACATCTGCCGTGATTGAATAAGTCACTGACATTCCTCCAACAGCTACACAGGAAACAGGCTTTGATGGATAAGCACCACTGGTACAAATAATCAGTTGATGACAAACACAGGGCGGCCGGGTAGCCTCGTGGGTAAAGCGTTCGCTCGTCACGCCGAAGGCCCGAGTTCGATTCCCGACATGGGCACAATGTGTGAAGCTCATTGCTAAAAGCCTATTGCTAAAAGCGGCGTAAAACCATACTCACTCACTCACTCATGACAAACACACAGCAAGAATATATATGTATAGGGTGAAATACTGCATTTCATTGAATCATGTATTCCACAATTAAAGCACGACCATGGTTCTGAGATGTTCAGAGGAAGACTATTGACCCCGTTGAATGTATACGTATCTCGTAACAGGTAAGATTATTGAATATTACAACCAGCCATCATGTCATAGACACACCTGACAACACATGTACCTGCACTGGCACAATGTTGCAAGGTAATAACATCTGATGTTCATTAATACACACAGTACTCAGACTAGCCACACCAATTCACAAGAATGCATTGGATAATGTTGGAAATACGTTTTAAAGTCACGTCAATCTTGAAAATTGACATTGACTATCTGTCTACACACGGATTGTTTAGACCTCGGAAATTGAGCATATTCTTCTTCCAGTGTACGGTGTCTAGCACCGACGCAATACACTGCTGATACAGTCGTGAATTTCGGGGGTACATACTTAGCCAGTCGATACTGTAGGGTATCTCCCTATGTGAGTTTCAGACCAGGACTTGCCTTTTTTTTGACAACAGTACTATTACGGACCGGGACTTGCTTTTATTGACAACTATTACGGAACCGTGACCTGCCTCTATTGACAACTATTATGGGGCCGGGACCTGCCTCTATTGACAACTATTATGGGGCCGGGACCTGCCTCTATTGACATCTATTATGGGGCCGGGACCTGCCTCTATTGACAACTATTACGGAACCGGGGCCTGCCTCTATTGACAACTATTATGGGGCCGGGACCTGCCTCTATTGACAACTATTATGGGGCCGGGACCTGCCTCTATTGACAAGTTGACTATTATGGGGCCGGGACCTGCCTCTATTGACAACTATTATTGGACCGGGACCTGCCTCTATTGACAACTATTATGGGGCCGGGACCTGCCTCTATTGACAACTATTATGGGGCCGGGACCTGCCTCTATTGACAACTATTATGGGGCCGGGACCTGCCTCTATTGACAACTATAACGGAACCGGGACCTGCCTCTATTGACAACTATTATGGGGCCGGGACCTGCCTCTATTGACAACTATTATGGGGCCGGGACCTGCCTCTATTGACAACTATTACGGAACCGGGACCTGCCTCTATTGACATCTATTATGGGGCCGGGACCTGCCTCTATTGACAACTATTATGGGGCCGGGACCTGCCTCTATTGACAACTATTACGGAACCGGGACCTGCCTCTATTGACAACTATTATGGGGCCGGGACCTGCCTCTATTGACAACTATTACGGAACCGGGACCTGCCTCTATTGACAACTATTATGGGGCCGGGACCTGCCTCTATTGACAACTATTATGGGGCCGGGACCTGCCTCTATTGACAACTATTATGGGGCCGGGACCTGCCTCTATTGACAACTATTATGGGGCCGGGACCTGCCTCTATTGACAACTATTATGGGGTCGGGACCTGCCTCTATTGACAACTATTATGGGGCCGGGACCTGCCTCTATTGACAACTATTATGGGGCCGGGACCTGCCTCTATTGACAACTATTATGGGGCCGGGACCTGCCTCTATTGACAACTATTATGGGGCCGGGACCTGCCTCTATTGACAACTATTATGGGGCCGGGACCTGCCTCTATTGACAACTATTATGGGGCCGGGACCTGCCTCTATTGACAACAATTATGGGGCCGGGACCTGCCTCTATTGACAACTATTATGGGGTCGGGACCTGCCTCTATTGACAACTATTATGGGGCCGGGACCTGCCTCTATTGACAACTATTATGGGGCCGGGACCTGCCTCTATTGACAACTATTATGGGGCCGGGACCTGCCTCTATTGACAACTATTACGGAACCGGGACCTGCCTCTATTGACAACTATTATCAGTGTCCGAAATACCTGCCTGCCCGACCGTCCGAGACGGGTTGATTTCAACTCGGGCTGCCAGATTTTCAAATCCCCCTGCCCGACGGTCAGGTTATATTTCATATGTGAAAATATTCTAAATATTTCCCAATGATAAGTATTAATTCACATGTAAAGATGAATGATAAAATGTAACCAAAAAGAAACCCCGTTAGCTTATCCTGAGAACATATGATTATAGTGGGCAGGCAGGTTTTGGTCAGGGCTGGCAAGTATTTCAGCTAGCCAGTCCTGTGGTCTGGCTGAAATTTTGGGGAGTTTCATACACTGCTATTATGGGGCCGGGACCTGCCTTTATTGACAACTATTAAGGGAACATCGACCTTGTCACAGGCCTAAGGGACATTGCTTTGGCGGGCTACGTTTATACCCAACTGAACGATATTGCGATGTCACACATCGGTATCGAAATACGGCTTAGCTGTATTGTGATGCGATTCTATATAATGCGATTTCGAAATACTGCGATGCGTTCTCGCTCTATCGAATTGTGTCATTGAACTGTTCTAATGTATCGACATATTGTTCTATTGCATAGCATAGCA